CATTTTGTATGCTTTTTTTTTTTTTTTTTTTACTCAAGGGGCCTAAAAACCCGCCGACTGGTAAAAGTCTCTATTTTAGTTCTCATTTTAGAGAAATTAAAACCATTTTTGGGGAACAGATATGTTTTTTTTTTTTTTTCTTTCATTGATACATAACATCTTGTTGCTTTCTGAATACATATAACCAGAATAAATGCTGTCTGAAACTGTTGGATTCTGTCTCAGAGGGCTTTTAGGTATTGGTAATATCAATAAACTAAAATGGATAAACCAGTCCTAGATTGTTTTTTTTTCCCCAGCTTTTATTGTCATTACACTGTCACAAGTACAGAGCGATGAAATTAACTCTCTTTATTTAACGTAACCCTTGGGCAGCAGTGGGCTGCCATTGTGCGGGGCCCAGGGAGCAGTGTGGCATTGAGGGTATTTGCTGAGGGACCCAGAATGGCAGTCTGTGGGAGTGGGGCTTGAACTCAGAACCTCAGAATTCCAAACACAAGGCCCTAAACACTAGGCCGCCACTCCACTAGTTACCATTGTACATAACAACCTTTGCAGCAGCAGTCCAGTCTTAACCTGCTGTGCTGCTCCTGATCCTAAAAGCTCCAACAACAATGGCTGACACCATCCAATCAAATGACTCTTTTTGATGACACTTTGATGTTCGTTTAGAAAAAAAACACTTACAGACAGAAAACAGACTTTTGTTTCCTGCTGTTTGCATTTTTAACTGGTTTGATGAAAAGTATTCACCATTAGATTTGTGTGACAATCATCTACGAGATGAAAATAATAAACAGGTTATTACCAAGTGGGCCAAGCGATAAAATAAACCCTCTCTAATGGGATCGCGTTACTCTGTAAAAACATCGGCCTGTAAGTCATTTAATGACAGAGCTGCCTTAGATCCAATTTCAGGTCAAAGTTGTGGGGCTGAATGCTAAGAAAGCCAAAGATACAGGCAGAAAGAAGTGATGGTGTGCAGTGAGAGGAGTTAGAGAGTGGACGGCGAAGCTATTTTAGGGATGATGTGCCTGGAATGACAACTGTTGTGCCTCTCACCCCCCCCCCCCTTGCTCATTCCCTACCTCTCTCGACCAAATCCCAGTCTCTCTCTCTCTTCCTCTCTTAAACCCGGACCCTTCATCAAGCAGAACTTTTCCAACCACAGACTCTCCTTTTCATCCCTCTGTGCGTCTCATGATAAAAATAGAAGACTATTAGCCTTTTCCAAATGAGCTGTGACACATTTGCCACCCCCCCAAACAGGAGGCTGACCAGTATATAAAGTCCAGGAGGATTTGGCTTCTCAGAAGAGCTTGACAATAAGTCTTAAAGAAAAAAAGGGAGAAATACACATTGAAGAAGATAATCAAGCTAAAAAAAATATAGCAGTGTGATTTATTTATTTAATCAAGGCCTCCTAGAGCTGCTTCAGGAGGAATCCGCCTCTCTCCGCCTCCCTCTTCCCCCCTTCTACTCTCCTCCTCTGCCTTATCCAGCACTTGCAACCATCCATGAGTGTGACCAACTCCTCCGCCTATCGATCGGAGCGCAGTTTCCACCAGACCTCGTCCTCAACCTCGTCCTCTTGCAACCCATACATGGAGAAGAGCCGGGGGCTGTTCACTGAGGACTTTGACTCCTTCATGAGGCCTGGAAGCGACTCCTTGGGATTTTCCAGTAAGTTGGAGAGGGACTTTATGCTTTTGGAGCTCGTTTTGTAAACAAGAACGTATCATGTTATGGATAGAGTCAAATTTGATCTATGTTTTCTCCTTGAAACCATTTTGATTCAGTGTGGTGTTTTTCCAAGCAGGTAATTAAATGTTACAGGTGGCAGAGTCTCTATGGCTTGATGTGAAGGAACAAAAGCTGTAGCCATGCCGCACCTGATGCACATAAAACAGGTGCAAATGAAGACAAGATGTTTTTCTCAGAAAACTTTTTCATTCCATGTTCTTTTTTCTGCATTTCTATGACTAAAACAGAAAGTAATTCAATGAGACATTTAACTATAAAGTGTGCAGTGTTTAGTCACGCTCCAGCTGGTGCAAACTAGTTGGTTGATGATTACAAGTGTCAGTATTTAACATGGGGTACTTTAAATAAGCCCACAGCTAGTGTCCTCTATAAGTCCAAGGTCACACAGTAAGGTTGTCTGAAACTCTGCACCAATGAATTCACCCACATAATGATATACGGTCTCTTGAAAAAGTGTTTACACTTTTTAGAAAAAAGATTTGGTTTTGTGTGACAGATTAACACAAGGTAGTGCATCAATGTGACATGGATAAAAAAGGGTGAATGTTTTTTTATGTTTTAGATATAAAATCTAAACATGTATGTGGAGTTAACCCTGATTAAACTAGAGTGATTCGCTTTTTTGCCTTCAAAAGCCATACTAACAAAAGTAAAAACCTACAATGCAGCAATTGAGTTAATCCCTTCCTGCTATCATTGCAGCCCCAGCCTCTGTACAGGAGAGCAGAGGACCTCTCCTATTCAGCAAGGCCAACAATTCCCTTTAACGACCCCCCTTTCCGACATTTAGACGGCTATGGGGCATTGCAAGCTAACAAAAGAAGCCAAACAACCCCCATTCCAAAGGGGTGGAACCCTTCGTCCATTTCAATTTGCATGTTTTCAATACAAACACAAGGCTATGTTGGGCTACTGTATAAAACCTCGAACTCAACACTATTCCTGACATTTTCAATTGTAAAAGCTTCTGGGATGGGAAGCGAAACGTCTTCAAACTTGGTAACAAAGTTCAGTGGATTGTTTTTAATTTTCTTTTTTTGGAAGAGTAAAGACAAACACAGCAGACAGGTCAGTGATCAATTTATAGTCAAGTTCAAAGCAGGACATTTTTAAAATATATTCAGACAACAATTTTAAAAATAGACAGACCATGGCAGAACCTCAACCCTACCAAAATCCACCTAAACCAACAAGTTGGGCAAGGAGAGCATAAAGCAGCAGCCAAAAGATCCAAAAATGAATCTGGAGCTGTAGAGATCCACTAATCATATAGAGGAATTGTTCAACAAACTAAACAGTCAGTAAATCTAGGGGAAAACTAGAGAGATACTGAAAAGTGGAAAGGAGAAAGCTTTAAGAAGTAATGTTCCAAACAATCCATTTGAAGGATTTTCTCTAAGTGTAGAAAGCTCAAGAAAAAACAACACTAGTTATCATCCTGAGCACATTTGGTGCTGGCAGCATTATGCTCTATGCTCTAGGTAGAGATAGGAACGCTTCTCACACTTAATGTGAGCCTTAATGCAGCCAGATGCAGGTCTGAGCTAACCAAAAACTTGTCAAAGGATGTAAAGGAATTCAGCCTGGGGTGGAGGTTTACTCTTTATAAGACGGAAGAACTTAATCATACAGCCAGAGTTATAAATAAATCATTAAAGGACATTTATAGGTCCAGACAGAGCTAAGTCTAGAAATAATCTTCAAAATTGATCATAACACTGGCTTTCCATTTATTCTGACTGACTTTGAGCTATTATGCAAGGAATGGGAAATAATCAAGGAGCAAAGCTGGGAGAGACGACACCCCCCCCCAACCCCCCCAACCACCACCACTAAAATAAGAATTGTACCTAAAGAAGTGGATTGTTTTATGTATTGACTCAGGGGTTGAACACAAAAGCACATCATGCTTTTCAGATTTTATATACACAATATATGTGGAAAAAAAAATTGTCAATAAACTTCAGAATGATGGCCTTTTTTTGTGCTGAACTCTAACATGAAATCTGAATAAAATACCTAAACGACTTCATTAGCTACATTTATAAAGTGCTGTACGTGTCTGAAAGCAGGGATTCTGGACGTGCTCCCGGCTGTGTGACTTCACACACTGAGTATCTGGGATGACGCCTGTATAAGAAATGTGCAAATGGTTGCTGGGTGATCAGTGACTACACACACACACACACACACACACCTACAGGCAGAGTTATAATGATGTCACTTACTGAAATTAACTTCCACATGTTAAGTCAGAGTACGCACACTGACATGGACGCATGAAACACAGTCATACGACTTCAGTGAAAGCAGGGGACACATTTGGTGGTTCCTTCAACCCATTTTTTGTTTTATTGTTTTCATAAGGTTTTCTAAAGCTTCCTGCTGCAACGTCTATAATGATAAATCCTTAAACTAGGGTATGAAGATCCCTTCAGCTCTACAGATTTGTTTTTCGCTCTTAGACACATTGTATTTTTTATAGATTTGGTAAAGAGATTATTTTCAACAGAAAAAGAAAGGCAGTATGCAGGTAAAAGCCTTTTTCCACCCTGACAGGTCAATATCCCAGAGATGAGCCATTGTTGCACCTTGCTGTGGTGGTTGTATGTATAGACGGAATAATGAGCCCCTGAATCAGCAGCTGATAGCGTCTTCTATGTGCAGCTAAACTTCCCAGCAGATCTTTTATTATTCATTTGATTGACTCTACTTTATTTTACACATCACACCTGGTAGTAACTTTCCCATATGAACCATATTGGGCAGTTATCTCTCAGTTGCAATCTGAAATCTTTTTACTTTTTACTTTTGCATAGGTAGTTGATAGGAAGGGGCATTTAATAATGACTGCTAGGATTACTGATTTCCTGCATTTTTATTGATTACATCAGCTATTCTCAACCTTAGGGTCACTAGGTTGAGAATAACTAGACCTTAACTAGGCTTCACCTATCTCTCTCCCTCTCTCTAATCTGTCAGGAAGAGCAGCAGCTGCACGAAGCGTTCACGGAAAGTGTGAAATAACAGAACTTAGACTGGAATATTTGGCTACTTAAACTTTATAAAATTAAGGGTCATTAGTTCTATATTAAATTACATAATTTCAAACAGAGATTGGTTTACTGCATGAAAGATTCTGGTAAGCGAAGCACCGTGGTGGTGGAGTGGGTGAAAAAGCTCCATTGGGGAGCTTTGTATCTGGAGCTGGAGCTATGCATTGCAAAAAATTGTTAATTTCGTTAAAACCCAACCTCCGCAGAGCAGACTTTTTGCCACACTGTCATAAAATGAGATTAGATCATGAAGCCCTTCTCGTTTAATAGTATTCTTCTCAGGTTGCTTTCTAATGGGTACACAGACGCTGTGTGGAGGGTCACGGAAGCCCAAAATTATGTAACCTTACCGTGCAGACCTCACGGCCACGCCAAGCATAAACCAAGCTGGACTAATGATACCTCAGTTGACAATTAAACTTTAACAGCCAAGACTAGCTCTAAACAAATTGGCTTTTAAGGTTGACTTAGAAGAACTGAAGCTTTCAGCACTTTTACACTCTTCTGGGAGATTGTTCCAGATAAGTGGAGCATAGGAACTAAATGCTGCTTCTCCATCTTTGGTTCTAGTTCTGGGATGTAGACAATAGGCCTGAACAAAAAGACCTAGAACTAGAACTTGTCAGGTTTGGTGGATGTTTGTTGAGGACCCAGATGAAGAGACAGAGAGATAATTTCTTGAAAGGTTAATGAAGATGCTGATCGTACAGAAGCAAATAATCCACAAACAACAGGAACTCAGGAAACAAAAACAAGGAGACACTTAGGGAAACTAAAAAAAGGAATAAATTCACGAAGATAATGAATCTAGCAATGAGGAACAGCACAGGTGGTGTAAATACATATGGACAGAGATGGGAAGTAACGAAGCACAAATACTTCGTTACTGTACTCAAGTAGATTTTTCTGATATTTTTACTTTACTTTAGTACTTATTTTTAATGGCGACTTTTTACTCTTACTCCTTATATTTTTACACAAATATCTGTACTTTCTACTCCTTACATTTAAAAAAATTGGCTCGTTACTTTAGTTTTGAATAATTTCAATGGAGTTACCGTTATTATTTTTCATGTCATCAATA